AGTCCCTAGGGATAAACTGATGCATTTCTGGCTGAAGGACCCGTTTCACAAACTGAATATCTTATTGCTTGTTATATTCTTAAGAAATCGCATAGCGTTTTATGACTACTTCAATGAATGATAATCGTTGCGTTAGTTTTATTTTGATAAGGGTAATCTAAAAGAGATACAACATAATTGCAGGATTAATAACTTCATAGAATAATATGAAATGCGACATCTGATTCAAGTAACAATTTTGAAAGATGATTGTTTTATTATAAACAATTATATTTTTTACGATGCCCCTAACTAAGAGCTGCCAGTCTAACAAAGCTGCTGAGAACGAAGAATGTTTTCAGGTGGTTTACAGGTATTCGGTATCTAATAATTCTCAAAATTAAAATCACACATTAGGTACTAAAAAAAAGCTTAAAGTTCTGCTTTTTAAAAGATTACCCTATCCAAATATTGAACCTGCAATTTCTAGCAACATCCGCAAATTAGTGTAGATTAACGAAAAGTGGTAGTCTGCGCCAATACTTCGTACATTAATGGACGTAGTTCGCGTGCGCCGATGCAATTAGAGTTTGGTTAGTTTTCAATAATTACGTGTCGAGCCGTAGAGCAATACCGCGGCCATGTCTAGTTTGCCCGTCGAGCGAATAAGTTGACGGAAATGATGGAAATTTTCGTCGAAACTGGTTGTGAATATCAAATTAATTTTATGCCATTATAGATTTACTTGTATTAAGAAAAAAATCCATTTTTTTTAGATTTTCTCATACTTTTTCAGAATATGTTACTAGAAAGATTTTACAACATTTCTTAAAATTTCTAAGTTATAGGCAATTCAGACCTTACAAAAGAATTTTGTATACAAAAGCTAGAATGGTCCATGGAAGAGGCTGGTATTATTCAAATCATGATCGGATGTGATCTTGTAGCAAAATTACCCATTGCCAATTCTGTTTTGCTGTAAGTAATGCATGGTAAATAAGTAGAAACCAATGGAAAACCGTTCATTACCTTTAGCTAAGGAATATTGTTAATGTTAAATTTTTGTTACGGTTGGCGGTCGGAGAAACAAAGAAAGTGAAATTCGAATGAAGCAAGAGAGGCGACAAGTTAAAGAAATAACAGTGGCTCATGGCGATTAGTTATCACCCTAATGTTGTTTACATATTTCAGAGTATTTAATTCTGAAATCTTAATAAGCACAGAACATTATTACAGTACAAAAAAATCTGTAATTATAAAGTCTCAGAGAAATGATGTTTTCTGTATTACATTTTATTCCGTACTGCAGAAGTATGCGAAAATTTAATTTCTTTTAAATTGCATAAGTTATATTCAAACTATACGTTTCACAATTTACGAAGTAACTTTAAATGATTTTGAGTAAATTCGGAACTGTTAGATTCTTGTTTGCAAAATAAGTCTCTCGTGCGTGAGAGAGATGGAAATCAACATAGGTACATTGTTGGGCAAACAAAAATAGAGAAACTACATATTTGCTACATACTATATAATTTCAAATTCCAACACCGGCGATTGCCTTCTGCTACTTAAAAAGTAATTAGCGCCACTTCTGCGTTTCTCATTTGTGCTCCTCGTTAAGGGCTGCTTATAGGGACTTTAATTGGCTTCTGATTAAACAGCAAAATTTCGGTTCCTGTATGAATGTATTTACTCGCTTTTTTTTTTAATAAAATTTTTCCCTTCGTTTATAAGCATATGTGACTTATATAGCAAAATCAAGAGATGAAAAGTTATAATTTTAATTTACGACCAATTGCTTACCAGTTAATGACTGTTAATTACTAAGAATAATTAGGTCGAGGCAAGTCATGTATTGGCGTGGGTGGTTAAAGGGCTTACGTGATGTAAATGAAAATAAATAATTCTTTAGTGGATAAAGAAAACATATATGAAGTTGCTCGAGGAATTTTCTTTAGCATCCTTCTAAGGATAGTCAGGGGTTGGGACTGGCTTTTTCACTCTAACGGCCTTTAAGGGTTCCTCGCCACGATAGCTCACGTGCACTACCGGCATATATAACCTTGTTTACAGATACAAATCGCTAAGGGTTGGAAAACCACCCTCTCCTTTATGTTGTCGAGTGAATTCGACTGACAACCGTTATTTGCTAGTAGCCAATAAGCTTCTGAAATATTGTCCCACTTTCGGTGGTTTTCTTTTTTTGATAGCCATTGTAAATAGAAAATATATTTCTTTTACTGTCTATAACAATAATCCATCACAGATAATATTTTCAGCACTAGTATCTAAGTAGGTGATTGTAATATCTGTTCCGGAATAGAAGAAATGAACGGCATTTCCGGCGAGAGGGGTATGAGATTCTTATGGACTATTGGTAACATTAATTACTAACACTGGAATACTATACAGCTGGGAACATCACTGTTTGATTTCACTAATTGAATATGAAAATGGATTGTGTTAATTAATAGGGTAAATATTTACATAAAAATATGATTTTATTATTTATTATTATAATCAGTTTTGTCTTTTTTTTTTATTTCTTTACGTCATCGTACCACGTTTATATAAAGAGGGTGCAAAACTCGCGTGCCAAATCTCACCCCGTTTCATCCACGGTCTCACCCACTTTCAACGACCCCTTTATATTCGCATACTCATTTCCTTCAAGAGAGAACGGTTGAATGGAGATTGCCCCTCTCGAGGGATGCATCTTGCACCGTATGCATCGAGGGGTGCACTTTACCAAGCACGACGCATTGAAAACTATCCGAGAGTTTGTACAAAGGGTAAGAAACAAAGTATGCATACATTTACTAGTATTTTGATATTTTTTTTTTAAATTTTTTTTTAAATTTTTTTTTAAATTTTTCACGAATATAAACTCATTTGCCTAGAAATATAGTTTAAACTCTTATTCTGTTTTTAGTTAATCGTTATCATTACAGTTTGAACCATACTCTCTTCTTTCTGTAAAAAACTTTTCCTGCGATTAAAAAATTTAGTTTATAAACATGTAATACTAGCTGTTGTTTTAGTTAAATCGAGTCAAGATGCAGTCAGACTAAATTTATGACCACTATAATTTTGCTGACAAATACCAAAGTATTTTCATGTCCTGGGGCGCTCGTGAACTCACGAGGGATGAGAAGTGATTCCAATTAAACCAAAAGCGCCCGTCAAATTGTGTAATGGGCAAAACCATTTGTGCAGGTTCCCTATTCGTAACAGTCGCCGGTTCTTAGCACGCCTAGCCGTCCCCATTTGGTTCCCTTTTGTCAACCGGAACTTCCTACTTAACCCAATAATATCCGCTATACGTTGCGGTTCCCACTTTGTCCCATAAATTCGTACAAGTTTCTAGGATTTCTGCATGGTGGCATATCCCTAGATACGTGCGTCTATCTATGACGCTAGGTTGCAGCACTGAGAAACGCCATAGGCCAACCGCCATAAGCCTTCTTGGTTCATAGAGCGTAAAAGCTTTTACCTAGGGGATAGTTTCCTGCAGTGAACCATAACAGGCAAGGGTTGACGGTACACAAGAAATTCTTGGCTTATCGCGCATTTACGACAAATTACCCTCATTTCATATGATTCCTCCAACCACCTCAAACCTGAAGTCTCGTAGGTTTAACCTGTTTCAGACCCTAATGGCTTCGTCCAACCTCACCCAGGTTCAGTCACCGGTGTTTGAAATTGGTGTTCGAAATTATGTGATATCTTTGATACAGTCATTTTATATATATTGATTGTTAGAGTCCTTGCATATATATGCATATACATGAACAGTATAAAATCATAGGTACTCAGATACAATGTTGTCCTGGTCTAGGGAGTTTTACTTATCATTAAAATTCCCTAGGCGAGTATGGGCTAATACGTGTATATAACGAAGTGCACTAGGGGCTTGCGCAAATGCGGGTAAAGTCACGCATAATAATTCTTATCTCATTTTACATTGTGGGAATATTCCCATTGGATTCGTGAGCGTCCTGGTGTTACGTAACGATGTTATTGTGACGTTGACTATTAGAGCAACGATGATCTCTGCGACAAACTACTAAGATTTGGTAACAGTGCTGGTTATTTTTTTCTTTTTTATTTATCAACTGTTGGTAAACACTAATTATCCGATAAGCCGCTCTTTTATTGGAGAACTTAGACTTTAGTTAAGACGATTATTGGATTCTTTTGGTCATAGTGAAGAATGGTACGAAAAGGGGATGGGAATTCGAGTTATATATATATATATATATATATATATATATATATATATACTGGTGCCAGTCTAGGAAATCCGATTTTAGTTTCCTCTGGTAATACTGGTCGCCATGGTGCTATGTTTATTTGTATTTCAATGCCCAGGAAATGAACAGCGTTGAGCAGTTTTCGCCTTCGGGTGAAAAATCGTTGTTTGAAAACAAAAGTAGAATGGTACATGTGACGTATTATGATTTGTACAGATTCACATTTTAAGAGTGACATGCTGTTATAAATATCCCTAGCCAGGTGAATTTTAGTTGAAAATTCTTGCGATCAAGATAATTTTTAAATTCAGGGGACTCTTTTATATTGCATATATAAAGCGATGGCACCCCGAGGTTCCTATTACGTCAAAGACTTTTCCTTTTCATTATTTTTTTCCTCAATTTTTTATTGTCAACCAATGGCACTTTTTGTTTGCCAATTACAGAAATATAGTAGTATATGCGAAAAATATAGTAGTATCATTAATGAGCGAGACATAATTTTATAGTGAAATCGTGCATGGAACTGTAATCAATTTTGCATTATGAGAGATAAGAATAAATTAGAGGATTTAAAAATGATGGAGTAAAAAAGAAAATGGCATTTGTATCAAATTTATTTATTGACGGTATTCATTAAGCGTGTATTTTATACATATGGTAGGCAACAATTTCGAAATGATGAATATTTAAATTCGCGCAGAGATAAACACAGGCGAGTATAGCAAGGAGCGTACTTATGCTGAGACAAATGAATTTTGTCTGTTATTACGTATTATTATTATTATTATTATGAATATAGTAAGCGTGCGCAACACGTTCGTGACGTACGGCAAGATATATATGTAAATATAATATAGAAAGGTATAGTATAGAATAGTATATATAAAATAAAAGTACAGTAGAAAATATATTATTTCACAAAAAGCGTATGAAACATGGAAGCGTTTGTCATTGATATTAATATTAAAATTTTGATGTTTTTACTCTAAATTCAAACACAATAATTTTCACGTATTTCTTGATTAATCTATACAAAAAATTATTAGTTTTGGCCAAATGCTAATTTCAATTAATTATATAATTATTGGTTGATAAAGATACATTTGTTTTCGTTAATTATAAAATTAAATTGGTACGAACTATGTCAATTTTCAATGACGTCGATGATATCTTGGATGTTTCCAGTATCATTTTCCATATCCACCGGGTGGCAAGTATTGATTGGAACCACCGAAATTTCCAGATCCAGTACCGAAATTACCACCACCGCCTCCAACGCCTCCTGAAATTATGTTGTACAAATTTTTCTTAGTAAATTTCGAATGTTATTGAAATTTGGAAAAAAAGATAATAACAATATACACTTTTTCAAGGGTTACTTCATTTTCGTACTAAAAGCATCGTGTAAAGTCATTTATTATCTAAGAATTTATATAAAATTCTCTCTCTCTCTCTCTCTCTCTCTCTCTATACATATATATATACACACACTAACCTGTCTGATAACCACCTGCGCCAAAACCACCTGGAAAACCACCCCCTATATTTCCCTGAGGATATTGTGCTTGGCCTTCGTACTGAACATCGGCATTGTAACCGTTTACATTGTCCGCTGTATATCTGACTATTTGAGTGCGCGAATCCGGCAGAAGTACGCGATATTCGCCAGTCACGGTGTTTCCGTCGCTGCTTTCCTGTTGAGAATAATCATTTCCGCTTGGCGGATCCCGCACCTCGTATTGGAAGCTGTATGGTTGTGGCTATATATATAAAAAAAATAGTTTTTTTATACTTTGGATCTAGGAGTCCACAGAATTATAAAAAAAAAAAAAATTAATTTTGTTGTAGTTATATTTTTTTGCGAAATTTGTTACCTCCAATTTTATAAAATAATAACTTCATTCTTTAATACGTTCACGTACCGATAAATATTTACGGCTCGTTAGAGAAGATTATTTTCATTGTAAATTTTTAAAATGGCTTAGTGGAAATCAAATGTGTTATTTTGTTACTGACAGTCAATTCTAGTGTACTGGCTGACCGGTGGACTGGAAAGAATTTTAAAAAACACGATTTACGGTTACTTTATTTTGTGTGAGATTTCAGTAGCTTTTTGAAGTTGAACAACTTTTGTTCAATGAGTAATTTTTTTATCCAAAATATTCTATATGATGATTAATTAAAACTTTAACGTTTTCGTATTTCAAAGTACTACCAGGAAAATTAATACAAATCTTTTGGTTAATTATTGGCTTTTTTACATTTTATGCGTTTGAATTTTTTTTCTCGTTAGTGCATACTCTCAACTGTTTTACGGTCTACTATCCTATTATTTCTAGTCTGATTAACCGCATTTTACTTCAAAGTGAAATTTTAATTGAAAACGGATGAAAATGGCAAATTGATCGTCCTTCAGAATATCAATGACAATAACAGATTTTTTTTCTAATTATTCATCGACATTCATAGATTAAGTTCAACAAGTGGAAATAATGTTCCTAGTGATATTCGCGTAACATTTTCAATTTCCAATATAATCCCATAATTTGTATCATATATACTAAATATATGAAATGACGTACAATATCAACATTCGATAAAGAAATTACTTACTCTGCCATCGTCCCCATTGTAACCACCCTGATAGCCATTGGTACCACCTTGGTAACCACCGGAACCCTGAAATCCTCCATTACCCCCTTGATTTCCGGTATATCCTGGCGAACCATACGTAGAAGAAGGTCTAGTAAAAGCACCGGTTCCGCCACCGGTACCACCAAATGATCCAGCACTGCCGAATCCTGGTGCTCCATAAGCACCAGTCGGACGTTGAGAAAATGCACCACCACTACCAGGTGTTCCAAAACCTCCAGAACTCGTAACAGGAAATGCATTATTTCCTGGTGAACCAAAACCACCAGTAAATCCGTTTCCGGTCGGCCTGTTATACTGGTATCCATTTCCGGCGGTACCGCCTGGCAACAGGCCTGCCAGGACTCCACCATCAAGACACGACAGTACCAGCGTCAATCCCAACAGCTAAAAGATCATGACGAGATATAACATACCAAATTAACTAAACTGGTTTATTGCAAACACTTTGCATGTCTTTTCCAAATTTTCAAATTATATTGTGACAAAGTAAAAGTATTTTTTTTTAAATTACATATTTCGTGCGAAATGCCTTTCTCAATATCAAAGGGATCATTTACAGTGTAATTTGAGCAGGGCCTTTCCTGTACACTCAACCTCGTCTTGTGATAAAGGAAGAAAAATGCAATTAATTTACAAGGGACAATGTATCTACATAGTCACAACAAGGCTTCTTTGCCGTTAAAAGTAAGCCGTGTATAATATACAGTAAGGTAAATCAAGCGGTATTCATCCCTCTCTTTCTTTCTCGCAGAGTTTCTTCAACAAATGTTTGAGGTGGAACAGAATCGTCGGATATTTTAAAAATACTACCACGGGTCTCTTCACCTTTCTCAGCATAGCCCCAGCACAATTATAGGGTACAGTATTAGCGCGAGTACACCACCATCAGGCGGTTCTTATATAAAGGATTGCATTACGCGAAGAAAATGAGTCAGACAAAGAAGACACATATTTTTAAAGAATTTTTTTTCCCTTTATTTTGATGATGAAAAAAAAATTATCTCTTGGCTTACGGTTAATTTTTAGATTTAGATATCTTTTTTTTTTCAAAATTATAATTTTCCACTGCATTGGGAATTAAAATGGAATCTTTTCATAGGGCAATATTCTGTGGGATATGCTTGAACTTTTTTCTATCTCCATGGCCATATATGCATGATCCTTGATTCTTTTTTTAGCCGTTTCTTTTTACTCAAGAAGGGTTCAATTCGTTTAAATCGGATGTATGGATAACGAGTCAGGCTCGTTAACCGAGCGCTGCCTGTTATCCCAGTTATCCTTCCATATTCGTATATATACGTTACGAGGAAAAAGGGATAACAAGCGAGGATGATGTAGAAAACCGAAGTAGGATTTTTATCAATAGAAAAATTCAATTCGTTGATGGCGTTGTTATTTTTACATTGAAAAATTGTCTGTGATTACATATGTTTTTCTATTTTTTTTATATCCAGAGTTAAAGTGGTAGATCACTCGAGCATTTTCAAGATACGGATCTGAATTTTGAATATGTTCTTGGCAGGTGCTTAACGTCGTGCTTGCAAAATTTAAAAATTATTTTCCGTCTAGTTTATGAGATATACGAAATGAAAATTGTGAAAAATGCACTCTATAGATATACCTCGCTTGTTGAAATAGCAATATTCTTTTCGAGATATCTTAGCCTTCCAGGCGGTGAAAGTAGATAAAATTTCTAGGAGATACTTCTTTCACGTCGAACATAATTATGACGATTTTGAAATTCAAAATATTGAAATTTTTTTATCATTTCTTGTTACGCTATTTCAAAAATATGTCGTATGAAAATTTAAAAAATTATGAATCTCTGTCCCTCCGCTTATCCCAAAGGTAATATTATAATAATGTTAGGCGAACTACCTTAATGCGTGTTTCCCTTTTTTGGAGGAAATACCATGACAGAACCAACTTTAGTTGAAAAAACAGTTTTGAATTTTCCTATACATTTCCATGGGGATGTTCATTATATGTAATTATATTTTGATTTATATTTTTTTGGTACATTGTCCACTCAAATCCGCGTCGCGTAGATTGAACGTTGTTATAATTACTATACGAAAAGAATGATGTTAGGTCGGTAAAGCAGTTTCTACGTTTCCCTTCCAATTTTAGACATTTTTCTTATATTCTTTTTTCTTTTTAATTTTGAGCCTTGTTCTCCATTTTTACTTTCTCACGGGAGCCACCACCCTTTTCATACTCTCGCAATTTCCAGGATTTCCTGCTTCTGACATGCAACAAATTATCCTTGGTAACTTTTGCGTCCTCTGGTAGCAGTTTATCGTTTATTTTCCTCAGTGCATTATGATTATTATATTTTTTCCTTTTCAATGGAACTGAAATTTTTTTGTTTCATTTTTAACTTTTTGTCGACTAAGCAAAAAAATTATATATCATCCCCTACGAAATTGTATCGAACAAATAATATTAATTTTATAAAATTCTGTTTGTATATCAGAATTTCTAATTATGTATATAACGCATAAAACTATACGGATGTATATTGTGTAATAAGTTTTTACCAACCTGTAGCCGATTCATTTTGCCGGTCGACTTGGGAAGAGTCCAAACTGAACTGATGAAGATGATCCATGTTCTGGCTTATATACTCTGCCGATTCTTTGTTACAGTTTATCCGTTATGTCTTACGTGGATGTGTTTGTGCGTTTGTGTATTTGCAGGCTTATGATGCGCGTTAGGTGCATCGGGATGAACAGGATTGGCTCTGGGTGTGGGAGGGCATCGTGGCTAATAGCGAGAATGCAAGAGATGCATAAGCCCAAGACGCAAATCTTCCCTTCACTCGAGAAGATGCACTCGCGGAAGGAGATTATGACTGCCAACAGCCAGACAACTCTTAATCAGGTTTCGCGTATACTGGGATTCTTAAAAAACGAAGATTATTTTGAAAATATTTTTTGGAAATTTTCTTTTGCTTTATGCGCTTAGAGGCGACAATTAGTTAATTGTGATGGTACAATTTTGCATGAAAAAAATACAATTTTTAAAAAATTAAAATTGACTTATGAAAAACCCACAATTGAATTTTGATGTTATGAACAAGATATTTGAGAATTTCTTCAGAGAGCTTCATTAGTCCTAGACTAGGGGTTGTGTAATAAACTATATTCCCTAGAGATTAATTCACCCCGAGCTTTGACTTTGATGTGGTATAGGATCTTACAACCCCTATTTCCACATACTTGATTTCGTATATGTGAAAATCCCTGTGTGTATTATACCTGGCCCAATTGCAAATTGTTCACAATGTACCTTAGCAAATCCTCTACTGCAAGACTCTCAAATTCTGCGACATAGCGGAACAAGCGTAAATCTGAAGCAATGAAGTATTCTGTAATGAATTTCAAATTAGTGTTATTAAAATGCTGTAACGGTTGTTCAAAAATTGTTCAAAAAATTCTCTATCACTGTTAATTTAACGGTCAAATCGTATATTATATAAATAACTATATTTTATAAAATGCATAAAAAATTGTTCTATATATATTTTTCGAAAAGTTTGTCCGATAATATTTTACGTGTTGAAATTCTTCGAATCTCATAGTGTAACTAAATACGTTTTTTAGGAACTTGTATCGCGCCCTTCAAGAACAGTCACTAGACAATAAATAAAATTGCGTGTCAACTGATCATACTATTTTAATATAAAATGTATTAGGCACATTTCAATAAACGAAATTCACCGATGAATAATTCCTACTGATTTAAAAATCGGTTAATTTCACTTCTCCGATTTTCAATGCGTACATCGCTAGTTAAAACCTTGAGTACATGCACGTCGTGAAACAGCAATCATAATCATAAAATATCATTTTACAAAATACCATACAGATAATATGGTTCTGGTCATATTTTGTACTATTACCCAAAATGATTTTGTACCGCTTGGACTACGTGCATTACGATATCTACAACGAAATTTCCATAAGCAAATTATCGCACTTCCGGTAATTCAAGCATATTTATTATTCATGCTTATCATATTTAATGGATATCGAACAATCATGCGCCGGCACGTACCAAGCATTGTCGTTTACACACACAAATTTCCATTAGTTTTCCACTAATACATTTGTTTACGTTTCTGCTTCCTGCTATCAGATGGCGCCAGTGGCGTTCTTCCATAAGGATGTTACGTCTAGTGAATTTCTGGAAGACGCTGTAGGGTAGAAAATAACATTGCTAGAAATTCTTGTGGTCATCTGTGAAATCTCTTCGCTTCTTAATGTCATACGGAAAGATAATTGGACTTGTCTTTTATAATATGAGTTACGTTAGGTTATATTTAAGTGCCATTTTCTCAAGGAACACGCGTTTCCGTGATAGCAGCATAAATTCTTGTGTATACCATTGCTATCCGTGGACCTCTCGTCATTTCTGCCGTACCATCTCTAAATGGGTTTGAAGTTAGTTGATCATGCTGGGCGAATGGGATTGGTCTTGTTACTTCACGCATCGAGACAATTACTTCGCATTGAAAGCACGAGGTAACGACTAATTACTCGAGACGCCTATGAGTAACGTGCAGACATTCGAGTACGCGTGTTGCTTGATTGCATCCAGGGACGTAATCTACAATTTTATTTTGATTAATAAAACAGTCATCTTTTTTATAACCACTCGTTACCTACCAGCAATATATTTTATTCTTCATTTCTATCAATTTTATTCATAAAACTTTCCTAGATCTTGTTTTTTTCTATACTGAGTTTTTGTAACAGCTGGACTTGCTTGTACTACAAAATTCAAGTGGATCGACGCACTTTCGATTTTCACCTTTTTTTTTAAGATTGTACCTGAAATTTTACGTTATTCCACTTTGAGTAATTGAAATAGCATGAGATTTGTCTTAAAATCGTAACACGATGTCGAATTATAATTGCCTAAGCTCTATTGAGAAGCACGAGTTATTTTATAGCCGTTTAATAAATTTTGAAAATTGTTGTGGCAGTAGAACCCCTGTGGTCGCATTATCGAATCTAAATTCCTGACCAATGCATGCGTCCCTGCAAACATGGACCCCATGAGCCGAGTCTAATGTGGATCTCGGCTAGAATCGAGTGTAAACGACTTTACGTAATCGTAACTGTAAGACGTAGTCATAGCACGTTTTTCACTGGTGTACTAACTTAATTGGTATCTCCAGTTTGTAAATACCACCAAAAATACCCTGTAAAGGATTCCGTGCAGAATTACACTTCGAAAATATATATTGGGCTCTAATAAAGAAAAGACGTATTTCCAAAAAAAAAATTGTATAAACCCTCTCTGTTACGTCTCCCCCATATCCCATACGTTACGTATACCCGAATATAGTAGTACAGTTAATACCAAAAATAAAAACTCAATTTTATCCAATCACTTGATTAATCTAATATATTAATTACAGGTAAAGAGAGATGTTGATATAATGTTTAATGAAAATTTCCCCAAACTTCATCCCTTGGACCGACGTATCAGACCATTTTGGTAAAATCATTGCAGTTTACAACGTGTTACCGGTGTACTAATTACAATTAGGTGGTCTCGAGTTCATTACCGTGTCTGCGTAACTAATTGGCTAGGGACTGGAGAGATTGTAAATTATTCACAAAGTGGATCGGCAGACCCGCGAAAGCACCAGTACGGTTCACTATCGAACTCTGAATATCAAACCATGATAGATATCTATCCCGAGGCAGTTTCCGTAAGCGTAGCGATTATTATAGGCTGCCAAGACCAAGAAAATCGTATAGGATCGATCTGTCGAATGGGGTTACAAAGTCTAGAGAATTTTCGTGTCTAAGAAACTGAGTGAAATTAATATCAAACTCGCCCAATCGTTCCTCGTTACGAAACATCAATATGTATATGCTTGAGATGAACTCAAATTAAATCGCAGCAATAACCTGGGCATTATTAAACATAACCTTAACCAAGTGACACTTGACGAAAAATTAGGTAATACCTAATCATTCGTTCGTATAAAATTAATCATTCGTATCTTTTATGACGTGAGCATACGTTTTTTTATATGGTCCACGCTGTTTGCTATTGGCCACTTGGTTTCATGGAGCACGTGAGACGAATAACACACGTGACGGTACGTGCCCACGTGAGTGTACCGGGAGTTCAGTTTCCTGTCTAATGGAGTGGAAAAGTGGGGTTTTGCCCTTCGCGAAGGAAAAAAAAAATGCATTGGTAAGGAAAAAAAGGGGCTAGTCAATGGAATTAAGTCTATCAGGCAATTGGTCATTTCGTCTCTCTTTTGAACGGTCTTTCGCTCCATTTTTTTTCCTTCTTTTTTTCCCCTCCTTTCTCATTTTTGTGAAGCTGGAAAAGCTTCGGCTTCGTATCCTCGTAGAAAAGTAGAAAGCACCAGGGGTGCTCCAATGAAATATGGAAGCGTTAAAGTTGCAATGAATCATCGTGCAAAAGCGCAAAACTCTTTTTAGTCTCTTTCTCTTTTCCGCCCGACGTACTGACAATCTTCTTGTCCCACTCTTACTCACTCGCTCGACCATTCTCTCTTATATCCCATTTCTTCCTATACATACGTATACACTCCTGTGTTCTCTCGTTCTAGCCACTTTCAACTCTCTTGGCTCTCCTACTCGTATACCTAGTAACACTTCTCCCAGACCCCTGCATATGACAGTGGCGAAGTAGTTGTTTCCCGTAAGTGCCATCCAGACTCGCCATTTTACGTACGTATATTAAAAGCATTAAGTGTCATAATTTTTCTTTTTGTTTTTGGGTTCCACACCTGAGTTGCCTTGATATCCCCCAATTTTTTAACCATACCGAAAACTTTTTTCCACTTTTCGAAATTTCTCTTTCCAACCCCTCCCCCCAGCAGTAACATATATCGGTATATCTACTTTTTATTTTTTAATATTTTTACTACAAAAACCAACCTGGTTCATTTTTTAAAATCTTTTTCATACATACAATTTAAGTATACAGTGAAATGTCAAAAGTCATAAGAAATTTTTCGTACAGGTGACATACGATTCTCATAGCTCAAACGTTATTTCATTGTACGAATCGCAGTCACGGACGACCGAGGAACCTTAAGAAATTTGCAGGACAATGGCAGCTCGTTAGAGTTTCCATCCTAGTATCAAAGCCGTTCTCACGTCGTTACATCCACTTAGTCCGTATTACGTGGCAAATGCGATCCGGTAATTTTCCTAGTGCCGGTGTGTGTACACGGTATGCCGGGCACATAAATTTTGCGTGCATGTACATATGAGTTACATATATCTAGATACACATGTACCCAGTAAGGAACATACACATGGCCAAAGTCATCCTTTCATTTCGCACTTTATATAGTTACGTCAGAGAGTCTGTGTTCAGACTTAATTTTTTTTTCAAAATTGCGATCGTCCTCCCTGTGCCATTAAGAGACGATAGAATGTGTAAAATGACACGTAAGAGTAGCCAAGATTAGGCACGTTGCAAAAGGGACAATATCCTTATGGTTTAGAATGAACAAGAGTCCCCTGGATTCAATAACGATAGTGTTGTTCGAAGCATGTATATGTATATATGTACATATATACTTATAAATTAGAATTTTTTTTGATAATTTGGAAACGGGTTAATTAGGCTTTATATGGTTCTCAATAAAATTGTTTAAATGTGTCCCAGGCATAATAATATAATACGTTAAGGTAAACCTCGAAGGAAATTATGTGTTTCAGTTGGGGTAATTTATTAAAGTTGAATTTCGCAAGAAATATTTCATGCTGCAATGCAATTAATGCGTGTACGGCTAATGTGTTCTTGCCCAATCGTATTACACGCCCGTTTTGGCATCGACGAGGAAATGGACAAAAGTGGGAAACAAACACGCGGATGAAGCTTGCGTCAATTCAATGTGACGATAATTTAAAATTGCACGGTTCAAATTATCGGGGATGGTGGCCTAGGGAATTTTGTGATTGTAGGGAGGATGCTGTAACAGCATTGCGCGAAATTATTACTATGAATTGTGATTATTTACATGGTGTATAACTATATATATTTATGGTAGGCAATGCCAGAGCCAGTATACGCAATTCGTGAGTGCGTAAGTGAATGCAGGAGTTAATGTGACTGGCAGGTAGGCAGTTGATAGGACTGTACGTTTACGTGCTTGGAATATGGACAGTCGCAGGCAGAATATTTACTACTGGTTCATTGGATTATAGGGATATTTGTGGTCAGGGGGAAAAATTGTACGAAGTGAAATTTAATATCTAGACATTTTTGATGTGGGGAAAATTCAAGGGTGGTTATTCTGTTTTTTCATTGAAATGACATTGTCGATATACGTATATAAGAGAATCTGAGGAACTTACGAGATAATACAATCCAATAGTGGTTTTTGGAGAAACTAGAGATTTTTAAAAATATTATTATAGCATTTTGCAACATGCGTTTATATAATAGTTAAACATCCAATTGGGTAATATATTTAATTGCATGTAACCCTAGTCGACACTTTTCTCCGTAAGTCTCAGGCTTTGTATAGGTTCCTATTGGGCCAGTACAGACTCAACTAGGACTACGACTAGCCCTTTATTTTTCTAATGAAATTTCTAGGGGAATTCATTTGTATAACGTAATATTGAAATATACTCATTTTGCACATGGATATTCCTGGTTGATCATTTATATTGGTTTTTATTTGGATTATCCAGTGAATTTATTAATGGATTACATACGTGCTTAATTGATCTAGGGAATTTAGGATTTTACATTTATATTAAGAAGGATAAACATATTTATATGTTCTTAATGTTATATTGTAGTATACGTATTTCACTCGTTTTAACAATTGGGACTGACTGTACTTACTCAAGAAATTGCACTGAATTATAACTGAAAACTCTAGTTCTTAAACATTAACTAGTACCAATAATTAATGTGCATAAAGAAGCAACCGATGATCTACAATGCAAAAAGAAAACAGATATAATATCTCAGAAGGAAGTTATTAAATTAATAATAACCTATAGTAGCATCGATAATTCACTCTTATTATTCCGCTAGTGAGTTACTTAACCCAGACTTAAATATCCCTATGACGAAATATCTATATAGTGACTGCCATAAAATCCTCTAGGCGTAAAACGAAGCAAAAGTGACCCACGATCCCACTTCTTGTAGTAACTTCATCACAACCTGGATAAACTTAAATACGTGTAATATTGATAAAATAAATAGAGGCATTCAGTGTAACGAGTAGTGGCCTGTAATCCAAGTAAAGATCAATTATGATCATTATCCAATAATGCCAACTGCGAAGTAACTGAGTCAAATTCGATGAATATGTACTTGTAAAATCATCTCGCAAATGACGTCTAACTATAACTTAACCCAATCCATGTAAACCGATGTAAATATAGATATAGATATCTGGCAGTATAACACGTCGTACAAAATTAAACGCGAATCACAGCTTCGCATCGATCTCTACCGTGTTTTGCAATCCGGTCATTGCAACAATAATGCACCAGGATACCACGAACCACTTTAGCAATGGAAGTCATAGCACCGTGCAATTTTACGATGATTAACGGTCCCTGGTAAATAATCGAGTACCCAGGGAATTTGATTGTAGCCAGTAGTGACATTGTCTTATAAATTGTCCAGTATGTACGAGTGACGTCATAATACGTACCAGATGACTTTTTAGGTCTGCATATCTCCAATACATTTACTCAGAATTATTATGATAATTTTTTTTTACAAAAATTAAATACCTTTCTTTTACTTCACGAAGTTAAAAAAATTGACTTCCGTCCTCCTCTTCATCGACGTTAATTAATTATTTTTAATAATTACTTCATTTTTAGATTTTTCAAGTTTTAAATGACCCTCGTCTCTCCTATGGTAAAATCCTATAGTGTTAGGTTAGTGGGAATTCCTCTGCGAACCGGTGGGGAACCTCGCTGATTGCTGACATTAATAAATTTTCTTGCAAAAAGCGACGTGTCGGTATGCAGCTCCGTGCTGTTTAATTATACGACTGGATGGCCAGAAGCGGATAATTGAATTTGAAATGGCTTGCCCTCTGGATATTTGATAGTTTCTTCTTGTTTTTCTCAACCCCTAGTATTCTTTCTCTCTCTCTCTCTCTCTCTCTCTCTCTCTCTCTCGCTCTGTCTCTCTCTCCCCTCTCTCTCTTTCTCTCTTATATCACCATCATCTCCTCAAGACTTTTCATTATTACTTTTCTTAATTCTACCCACAACCAAATCTATTTTTCCTTCACTTCTTTTCCACCTATAATTGCTTCTACGGTAAAACCGTACTATTCCCAGAGATTTAACTCGGTGTTTTGTATTTTCATGCTTCTTGTTATTACTCAACAACCTGGCTAACAAATGATAGACAAATTTACGCTAAACACTTGTGCACGATCGTTTACGATAGTCTATCGTGAGGCGAGTAAGAGGAATAAAATAATGATTGCACTCTAAATGAGTGCATATCTTGCACTTGTGGTGTATACCTTTCTCGCATGGATCATCCTGTACCTATGTGCATGGAACAAATTGCACCATGCACTACGTTTCTATGTATCTACGGGATGCGTGCTGTTCGCATTACGTGAACCTATTTCATACTTTTTTTCTATCTACACTTCTTTCTTACTCTCTCTCTCTCTCTCTCTCTCTCTCTCTCTCTCTCTCTTTCGTTCTTGGTCATAAGCTCTCTCGTTTCCCTCTGCCGTAGAACCGTGATTTCAGGCCGTCTCATGTAATGGAGAAAGTACACTTCATTCCGGCTACGATAACGTTCTAGTAATCTTGTATAAAAGACCTCGTGTGTTCATTGCAATTCGTGGGAAATTCTGTTGGAACAGATAATTTTTTTTATTTTTCGGATATGATAATTTTGAAAAAATTAAATATTTCGAAATCTATTTCATGAATTTCTTTAATCCATGCAATATTTACAGGACGTCAATTTGGGGTTGATAATGGTAAGTGGGAATTTTTTGTTTTTATTTTATTTGAAAAATAGATACAAAATGGTATATTCTATCGTTATAATTATTTATAATTAATTAATACTTGCCGATAATAGCCCGCAGACTATTCAGCAATGCTCGGCTAGTGAAATTACATAAATAATATTCGATTCTCTTTCTGGCTTGTGTTTTATTTTCAACAAAAAATAGAGGAATCACGGCATATCAACATTTTTCTCCATCACGTATTGTTGGATTTTTCAAGAGAATTCTAAGAAATTTTTGTATTACTATTTTTGTTATCCACTAAATGAAAAATGCAACTGCAGTTGACCCTTCTTGAAGTTTTAATTAAATCTTTCCTTCAATCCTTCCTTTCCTTTTTCCTTCAACGTGTAGTTGAGATTAATAGAGGAATAATTGTTAAAAAAATATTGTTTCTTAATTTAAAATCCAAAGTGAAGTTGAATGTTCGCATTTGACGTGCAGTTTGAATTTTGTATAAAGTTACTAAAAATTAAATATCTTCACAACAGAAAGAGAAGAGTTTATTCACTCAGTTTTGATATCTAGGGATATTTCGTGTTTAATAAAATCCAATAATATTAATGTATTTTCCTGTTTCTTTCTAGAAATTTCCAAGCGAGTCGATTTACGAGTCGTCGAAATTTCCATTTTTCCCACATTCTTCATTTTCGTTATTTATTCCTATTTCTCTTGTTTCTCTTTTCTCTTTTTCTTGCCCGAAAGAGATAATTTATTTCCTATGGAAATTCGGCGTTCCGTAACTGCTTGAGGGCGTTTTCGCGCCAAACGATCCGAAGCCATTATTGTAACCCTGATTGTTATTTCCTAGGGAATTTGTGGCGTACTGTTGATACTGATTATTATTCCCATTATAATTATAACCGCCATTGTTGGAATGATAATTGTTGTAATTTGCATTGTAATTTGCAGAATGGCCTGTAACAATAATCATACATTGCAAAAATAATATTTTTCCTACAGACAGATTATAAGACTCGATATATCCAATATATAAACTATACACGCTATAATAACATTTACATTGATAAAGTTATTACGGGAAATTCGAAATAAAATATAATCTTTTCAGCCATATCGATTACATACAAGTGACAAAACCCTAGAACAAATTTAAAATTTAATTTTTAAAAATATATTTTTTACCTCCAGTGTATCCAGAATCGATACTGTTCCCTTGATTATCATATCCGTTCGAACCACCATTATTGTATCCATTGTTATATCCATTATTGTATCCATTATTAGTATTGTATTGCTCCGGATAGGTGGCGACACCCTCGTACCTTACGTCAGCATGAAAGCCCGTTCTCCAATCAGCAGTGTAAGTAACTATTTGCGTTCTGCCATCTGGCAATTGTACCCGATATTCTCCTCGCACAGTCTCACCATCGCTAGTTTCCTGTCTCCCAAAATCATTTCCGGTTGCCGAATCTTTGACGGCGTATCCAAATTCGTAGGATTTGGGCTAGGAAATAACAACATACTATTATAGGCATGAGATGAAAATATAAAAATTACTATACTACAGTTTAAAATAATTATAAATTATTATTGCAAATTTACAATGACAAAAATTTCGATATAAATCCATTGAATGGTAAAAGATTACAAAAAAATGGAAATGCACGGTTCATCGTCTCCAGTAATCGTTATCGTATTTTATGACGTTGACCTCTGTGACTCCAGACCTCATCCAACGTCCATTGTTCACCTCGTTAACGGGCGCCATATAGAGCGATAACAAAGTTGCCCAATCGTACTGAGATAATCTCTGTGGCTGGGCATAAAGTCAATGAGCAGAAATCTCGATGAACTTGTGGTTATAGTTGATCTAGTGATATTTGCGCTCAATTAGAAACGTGAAGTTACGCAATACGGACTATAAAATTAGCCTAGTGTTATTTATGATTTTATAGAAAGTTCGTGCGGGCAAGTAACGTTTGGCTGTGAGAAAATATCCCTAGAATGGTTAGGAGCGTTGCGGGAAGAGGGTTGAAAGGGAACAAAGAGAGTGAAGTTAAAAGTAACCGGAAATAGAGTAGACGGGGTAAAATTTTATGGAGGGGTGACTTTAATCTAACTCGTGCACCAGCCTTGCATACAAGTGCACATTCTTGCATAATGCGGACATTTAGATCCACTGGGTACAATTTAGATCCGCAGGGTATTACGGTAACCAAGCGGCTATAAGTGTTTATCACGTCAACCATATTCCCCATGTGAAAGAATGATCACCCAGAAAATATTCTCACGATCGATTTTTGCACCCGTAAGCGAGATTTAGGAAAGTAGAACAAAGAAATATAGGCTTTCGGTTTCCGGTATAAAAAAGCAAAAAATTCGATAATCGAATATTTCAATTTCTATGGAAGTACGAAAACACGCGAAGATCGTGACAAGAATACAGATGCTGACGAATATTATTATTAATCAACGTATTAATATAATAATATATTTCTAGGTCCCTACGAAGGACTTTTATAGTCCATAATATACACCGAAACTTAATTTTTCTAAATGCCCCACGAGCATCAGGGATTTGGCTCTTTTTCACTGACCTGGCTGTCTATGTAGTCTTGGTTGGTGTCATATCCGGTACCAACTGGGGCACCGTAGCTGTTTGTAACACCAGCACTACCACTACTACCACTACTACCACCACCGTGATGACCGTTTCCAAAGTTTCCGGAAACACCCGGAACTCCATACTGGTTGCTCAAGGCCGGTTCGCAAGCACCAGGAGCCACAGTGAGCAGCATCATCATTGCCATGGCAATAGCAACCTGTCCAAAACAGTCGAATCCCATAGGTAGAGTTAGAGACCTTTCACATTCGCCCAGTAAAGTTTGCCTGTTGACTCGACTAATACTTGAATTAATTGACTAGGGGACTCATGGTGCTAATTAAGAGAAATAATATGAATCCCAGAAATTCTACAGCAGTCTCGCTTTTAATCAGTAAAACTCGAAGTCTCATGAATTCGATTGACTGTTTTATAAAAAAAAAATTTTGTTGAATTTACCACAATTTTCTCAAAAATATACGTAGTTTACAATATTTCACTTGCACTAAAAAAAAACCAGGCACACCACGTAGTTAAAAATATCCTTTACCTTTTTGATCACGATATCCATTTTTGAATTGGCCGAACAGAACAAAGAAACGAAATAAACTTTTCCTTTTGTTTCCTTTAAATGAGACTCGACGGTTTTATTTTTCTAAGACACTTCAAGTTCTGAAGATTCACAATGCCTACCACTGTCTTTTATACTATGTCAACGATACTTGGAGGGGTGGCAAAATGGTTCCCTAGATCTTTTTCACTCACATCAGTAGTAGAGCATAGCTGGCCATACGTAAGAATAACGTAAGTACAGAACGTAGTAGGGATACAGGCAAATAGTATAAGTCGTTGGTCCAGGGGGGGG